TTATTATTATTATTATTATTATTATTATTATTATTATTATTATTATTATTATTTATTATTATTATCATCATCATCATCATCATCATTCTCATTATTATTCTAACTCTTCTTCTAGTTAACATATTCCCAGTTAGAAAGTCATAGAACTAACTGGTTTTACTGCACAATAATCCAAATATATCAAAATATCCCCCCCCCCGACCGGTATAATATTCCTGTTCCTTTTAAATTTTTATCGTAAATTTTAGTTCTTTCTCGCGTTGGCTGCAATGTTAGAGACTGACATCATCGAATTTTCCAGAATTTTCTGCGCGTGAGCTCCATTCAGTGGCGTATATGAAGATGTGGTTTGGAGGATAATTTGTTTACCTTCTCCATAATTTCAAACTAAATATATTTCTAATTTGCTAAAATATCCTGTTTTGTCCGGGTTTTTAAGAATCACTACAATGTGCGTCGAGACCGAACTTTCTAACCCACCGTGGAGTCACGGAAGTTTAATAGCTCGAGTCACCGCTCCCGGTTGAGTGACCGTCTAGGAATCTCGCTTACCAACGGCGCGCAGCCCCTGTCCGACAGGGATAAGAAAGCGATGACACTGACTTCACTTGACGTAAGACTGACTGTGAATGAATGTTCAAGGAGAAGTACTCCTCGCGTCCATAGGGGCTTAGGGACGCTGTACCGCAAGCAATAGAGTTTTTAAAAATCTATTAGGAAAATGATTGAATTTTATGTATGATGTCCCCCCCTACTCTACACGATCTTACCCTTCCCTGCCACGTCCTTATCCGCCTTGGCCTGCCCTTGCCCGTTCTGCCCCAACAACCCAGACTCGTCCTTCCCCGCTCTATCTCGCCCTGCCGCACGTGAACTTTCCTCCTCGCCTCTCTCATATATATCTCGTATATAACATACATAATTCCCCTTGCATCAAATATTTAATACCTGATTTAACGTCATACGCGCTTTCCATTCTTCAATGAACTCTTTTCGTCGATCAACTCAAACAAAGAATGTTGCACGTCACTAAATCGGTCTGCCAGCGAGAAGTGCCCGCGGAAGTAAGCAAAGGACTGTTTCGTTCCAGGGCATCGCAGGAATCCTGGATGGAGGGCTCCGGCGCCGGCGCCGGCGAAGACGAAGCTGCGCCGGTTTTCAACAGAGATGAGATGATTGCTGGATTAAGGGCGGATAAGGCGCGAGCGTACAGATTCATGGTTCAAATCCTGGATTTGGCCAATCGCCAAATACTCAGCGTGGAAAGGTGGGAGGAGTCCCTAATAGGTAGGTCGTTCTTCTATAATACAAAGAGTAGAGCAAATTTGGAACTTAGATGCCAGAAGAGAATGCTCTTCTGCAACATCGATCATTCCGTCGCTAACAGTGGCGCAGCGTGAGAGGAGACAAGGTAGATACTGTCTACCCAAGGAAAGGAAACGCCGACACCGTGTGACAGATGTCCATGAAAGTTGGCACACCTTCGTGTTTTTGTCACCCAGATGGTTTAGGTGCTGTTAATGTTGTGACTATACTAGAGAGACACTGAGAGACGGAGACAGACAGGGAGAGCGACACAGAGACAGAGAGAGAGGGAGACGGAGAGAAAAAGGGAGAGGGAAGGAGAGAAGAAGGTGAAGGGCAGAATAACGTCTGCCGGGTTCCGCTAGTGTAAGATAAAGACTTCAATGTACGTAAGTTCTTCTTCAGCTGTAAGACCTCCGTGAGAGCATGGAAGAGGAGCGCCTGCCGGAAGGCCTCAGGATAGTGTCGGTGTCGGTGTCGGCACAGACTCAATCTTCCGTTGGGAAAAGCTGGGTGCGCACCATAGCCACCCAACCAGAAACCCAAGTGTAGATCCTCCTTCTGGACGTAAAGCACGTCGCTTCAATCGCTGGTTTAAACTTGTCTATTATCGCCTGGGGACATGTCATTACGTAGTTCGACTTTGAGATTCGTCGTGTATGTGCGTGTGCATGTTGCTTAGCAATGAAAAAACAAACAAACTAGTAGTCCCAGTTTAAATTTGTCCCCAAAATATGGAAAGGTAATTTGAAAGTTTGAAGATAATTTGTTTAAAAAACTATATAATTTGATTCACGGGAACAGAGCGCAATATTACCTTAATTGAACTTCTGTTTAATGTTTAACAAAGATGAACCTGGAGCCTGCAGAGAAATTGTATTATAAAAAATGCTGATGCGGAGGCGAAGAAGCTTACAGGTACAAGAAATCATATTAAAAAATGCTGCACAATTTCACATGCTTGGAAGAAAAGGAATCTACCATTCTCTTGCTGAAGCAGAGAAAACTGTCGACCTGATATATAACGAGAATGTTTCTCAACACAGGCGAATTGTGTCTTTTTCTCAAAACAGCCGTCTTATAGATCTATCGTGTCACTTCGGAAAACAAGAACAGCATTTCGGAGACATCTTGAAAATGATGAATCACTTATCGAAGGCAGAAACACTTAAATTGATAGCAATGGAAGGACACATACCCATATACTCTATGAACCGTTTTATATGATCCATTCTACATCAAATCTCACAACAGTTAACACGACTTTTTAAAAAGGTTCTATTTCCCCCTTAAATGTGGACATCAAGAAAAGAGACACGTGTTTTTTTATTTCCCTGAAAATAATTATTTGTGTAGTTATACAAAGTGAAGTACGCGTTAATTCCAAAATTTAATATATTAAATTTTGGGATTTACGCTATTTACGATATATTTTCTTCAACAAATATAATCAATTTTTGCTCCGTGTGCAGCTAATTTTAATATTCCTGGTTTGTTTCATTTAATACTTTGATATGTGTATTTTATTCTTCTGTATTATTTTTTTTTTCAAAAATTAAATACTTCGTTTAAAAAATTGTAATTAAAAGAAGAAAATTTCTATATGAACTTGATCAGATGAAAAAATTGAAAAAATACAGGTGTATGTCTTGTTCATTTGTCTATAAAATAAAATAAGAAAAAAGTGGACATTTAATAAGTATAATTCTAAACTATTGGTGCTAAAATAGCACGTACTCAAGTACTTTCTCCCCCATATTTTCACGCAAAATTACTCGAAAAGTCCTCAAATTTTCTAAAAATTGTACATGACCTTATTTCAAGAGCTATCTTTAAGGAAGAGATTTCATTGAAGGAAAAACATCTATCTTTAATATATTAGTTATAGGAAGACTCCGAAAAAAGTTTGAATGTTTGCAATTTTCGAAAAATCAGGGTTTTCAACGAACATGAGACCTAACCATTCTTTTAAACGTTCTTCACACTATACAACAAAAAATTAATAAAAACCGATCGAGCCGTTTTTTTGAAAATTTGGAAAATGTTTCAGAGCCTTCATGTTAATTACCTCACCAAATCGGTTTCAAATTCAAGGGGCATCGACATCAGTCAGATTGATTGGAGAATATCAATTTTAGAGCAAAAAGGCTGAACGGTTTAGCCGCTAGCGTTGTTCGCAGACGGACGGACAGACACATAAACTTACAATATCAAATTTAAAAGAAAAATAATAAAGTTAGAAAAATATAAAAAATACACATATTAACGTATTTGATCCATATAATACATAGAAAAAATACAAAAAAACAACAAAAATATGAAGGATGGAATTTGGAAAAAACAACAAAAAATAGGAAGGAATGAAATTTGGTTTTGATTTTTGTGCGATTGGATGTGGAATGGCTCAAATGTGGAACCTTTCTTGCATTCGGCAGCCCTTTCAGAGGTCTGTTGGCCAAGGGTCTCCTTGGTCTGTGTAGCTATTGGCTGTCTAGGTACTGTCTATATATACAACACTATTTTCCATCTGGCTGTGTTTTTCTATCGTCATGGTGCAGAGAAGCTGAGCTGGTTGATGAAGCTGGTTTGTGGCATTCGTTGATGGTATTTTGAGGTGGGAAGAGTTATTTAAAAGGATGTGGGAAGGTAATGCCAGAGTGTAAAGATGCAATATGAAAAACACATTGTTGCTTTACTAAGAGATTGCATTGTTAAAATCGTGACCTTCGAAGTGGAGTTGCTTTGTGTGATCTAGCCGTGGGTGCATCAGCGGTTCAAGCGCGTTGGTGGTGATGTTCACCGCTGGTTCTTTATGGAGACTGTGGTCAACCGGTTGGGGTGAGATTAAACGAGTTTCACCGAAACATTTACCAGGAGAGATGGCTCAGGGCATCAGCTGATGTCTCTGCAGTCCCTCTGACCGGGAGGTCCTAGAGTCCCGTCGGCGATAGGAATTTTGACTCTGGCTTGTCAGCTATGTCGGATTCAGTTGCTGTCTGGAGGAGAATTTCAGCGGTCGGCTGCTCTGATTGGTAATTTTCCGTGGTTTCTGCAATTAACACCAAGTGAATGCCGGACCAGTACCATTTTCCTTCATCTTCTTTGTCCTATCCTCACCTCTTAACACCCTACCACGCACTACACTACCACACATGCCGGTCGAGAGCTTAGAGCTTGTCCCGGCTGGGGCGTTGCCCCGCAGGAGGGAGATACCTGGTTAGGGAAATTTCCGCTCGCCGACAGTAGGTCGGCGCCGGATCTCGCCGTAAAGCGGGGGAAGATCACAGCCTCGCCTCCCGAACAAAAACATGCGATACACTTACGGGACTAATGACCTCAGTATCTGACGCGCGAACTCACAATCACCGGAGAATTGCCGCCGACCGTGCCCATGGCGACTACCTGCACGAGTAATGGGTCTCAAGTTGCTGTTGGGGCCGTTGGTGCTGGACTCGGCGGGGTGAGGATGGAATTCAAGGATGAAGTTAAGAGAGTTGAAGGTTTCGTGAGGAAGGGAAGGTAACTGTGCTAATTGGTTGGGGGATGGTTTTTGCATTCGATAGCGGGTTTTGAGGGATGCCGAGTTTTTTATTTTGTTCCAGTTACGTACAGTAATTCTGCACAAGTTTTCCATAATAGCTTGGGGGCTTTGCATGCCCCCCGCAAGAATCTAAGTAACTTGTTATTTGTTGTGTCTGTGTGTAACTCCTGTATGTTGATTTTAAAAAATGGTCCAGTTAAAAATTGTTAAGGAACAGCAGCAATGAAAAATAAATAATTTTATATGAACACCCTTTTCCCACAATTTTATATTAATAATAATAATAATAATAATAATAATAATAATAATAATAATAATAATAATAATAATAATAATAATAATAAGAAGAAGAAGAAGAAGAAGAAGAAGAAGAAGAAGAAAAAGAAGAAGAAGAAAAAGAAGAAGAAGAATATTGATTGAAGGTTATAAAATCTGTTATACGTTTATTTTTGTATTGTAAATGACTCGATCCTATGCACAGATGTATCTGCTTCTTCACGAAATCGCCGTGCGGTATGTCTTATGATAAACAATGTATAATCAGTTTGATATGAAATTTTATTTTCAACCCATTTGACTAGAATTCCATTTTATGAAATAGAGTTCATGTCAGTCTAAATTAAATATGAATAAAAAGAAATGTCTTAATTCGTTTGGTTGTTGTTTATTTATTTATTTTTCTTATATGTGGCCTGTCGAGTGTCCCCCTTTTACCTGAACATTGTTGGCAACCCTGTTAGCCAGTGCCTTCTCTCGCTTCAGCGTTTTAATACCCTTTTGTTTGCGCTGTTCTAGGAAAGGAGCATAGGCCCTGGTATCCAGCTGTCAGGAGAAGAATCTACTACTACATGGAGTCGGTCCTGATGATACTGCAAATTTTGAAAGTCATCGAGGACGAAATAACCAGAGCACCAGCTTGAAGCCCGAAATAATTGCTGGAAAACTCAAACATACATACATGCATACACACACACTCACACACACACACACACTCACACACGAGTGCGCGCTCGCACGCATGCACGTACACACGTACGCTAACGCACACAAACACATACGGGTTGTTTTTTTGCCCTTTGGTCATATATTACTGAAGTTATTTGTCATTATTTATAATTATCTATGTAATGGTTTTGATATGGACATTCATATGATTCCTAACATGTAATAAGGAGATACATTTCCTAATTTGGACCGGGTACTCTGATTACAAAATATATTTCAATTACTTTATTTTGGTAAAGGGGAAGTGAGGCAAACTGTGCCATTACAATTTGATGTATGTTGCCTAAAACATGTGTAAGGCCTAGTGTGTACGGTAGCATTTCAGTCACGATTACTCATCGAATATCCCCACTAAAATGACTACTTATCCACTGACTGCTGACCAATAACCACAGCAGTGCTACCAAAGTAGTATTTTCTAAATGATCTGGTGAGGGCGTGGTTCAAATTTTCAACGGTCCAAATTTAGTAACATTCTCCTCTTCTATAAAATGTTTCTTTTTAATCTTGTGTTATGTAATAAAACTTACATAAAACTTTTGAGTTTCTCAGAAAATTAAGTTATTTATATATAAGAAACTTACATTGTATTCGATTATGTTATGGAACAAAGACAAGAGGTTACTCAACCCGAGAAACCGTAAAAAGTTGCGAATGTTGAGTACGAGCTGAATGAAGAGTATGATAGGTGGTTGTATCACCACCCACAATAAAGCATTGAAGCATCTCGAGTTGTCGTTTTCCGATTTCACTAAATTTCTAGGTCTTCGCCTGTTGCATACTACTATTTTTGCCTTTTTTGCGGACAAACATTTTAAATGTGTGAAATCACTCTCCAGAAGGGGATGTATAAACACGAGATTTATTCTTTCGTACAAAAAAATTCAATTTTTCCATGAAAAACAAATACAAAATGTTTATCAATACAATGCAAATCACTTCGATATGTTCGGTAATATGAGAGAGAATATTCATAATCATAAAAAGCTCAATACAAAATGGTACATTAGGTAACCAAATATAGAAAGTATGTAATACTTTTTATTAAACCAAAATTGAAGGTTTTCCAATTCTTTAAAAAAATTAGTGCTCGGATTAATTATCACTATTGTCATTGCGGTTTTCTCCTAGGAAATAGTATTAAAGAATAATTTATAATGCCTCTTATTAAAAACGTATACGAAAATTTGCACATTTTCTCTATGAAAAAAAATATTTTCAACATAACGTGCCTTTGCGCTGCTGATAGATTTTTAACTTTCGCAAAGTTAGCACCTGAAAATTGTCAAAAATACTAGAAATCTATCTAAGAAATTGTCGCTAACTTGTTACGAATTGGTTATGAACAAAATTGTCACTCCCAAAATGATATTGGAAATGAAATATTCCACTACCTTCATATAAATATAGCCCGAAAATTACAAGAGAAAAAGAAACGAAATAAATGAAAATAATTACGTGGTAAATTGACGGTTTTTGTTGCTAATTAGTTGCCAAAAAGAACATTTTTCCTCTTTATATAATGCAAAATCCTCTATTGATATCATGTTAGTAAGACAATTTCAAGAAAACAAAGAAATTACAGAGATAAATAAATAATAATTAAGCACCCTCACTGTTTTGTTAGTTAATTGCCAAAAATAAACGTTTTCTTAGTATTGTTTAAATTAAAAATGCAAAGTTAAAATGATGAAAACGAAGTAACAACCAACTCTGACACTAATACAAAAAATATATACACGAACATCGCCGCTCTCCCTTCAAAGTTTGACCTGATAAAAGTCAACACTGTGCAACCAGGTATAATAGTAATTACTGAATCAAGGCTCAACTCGAATATTCCTGACCTTTCAATACCTGTACCTGGCCTTCACATATATTGCAGAGATAGGCCGGACAGGCGAGGAGGGAGAACAATAATGTATGTGAAACAAAAAATTGGAAATACGACTATGAAAGTGACAAATATGAACGAAATACAAGACCCTGATGTGGAACCACTCTGGTTGAAACTAGAATATGGGAACATACTATATATGCTGTAGGAAGAATATATAGACCACAAACACTCGACACGAGACCCCGGCAATCAGATCTCGAACGATTTGAGTAAATTACTATGGTATGCGACCTTAAGATACGGATTATTATTTTTGGAGATTTCAATTTTCCCACAATTACATAGACCAAATGTGGAGCTATGCCACATAGAGAAATTAAAAGAGAATTTATTAAACTATATAGATTAAAATCTCACTCACATGGTATTTGAGCTTACTAGATAAAGAGTAAATCAAACACCTGCGATTCTTGATTTAGTGTTAACTAATGATGAAGACTTCATTACACTCCCGATTATAAGGCCTAATATTGGTCAAAGTGATCACTTGGTGATTATGATGACATCGCTACAAGTAGTAATTGCCCATCTCTAAAGGTAATTTCTTTCAAGCAGACTACATAGCAATAACGAGACACCATACTGAACATCATTAGTTGATCTAGTTGATGATCTTTCTTCCAGTTGGAACTGCTATGCGGACGACACCAATCTTTTATCAAATCCACTAAAAAGCTATCAGATGTTACAAAATGACACCAATAAAGTGGTGAGATGGTGGGAATCTTGGTTGCTGCCTTGAAACTAAAATAAATGTACGGTCCTCCGTCTAGAAAAATATACCTAAATCTTAATTGTAGCACTTAAAGTCACGTACGGAATTCTACGATCGAACAAGATGATCTCGGCGTTCTTATTACTCGAAATTTGAAATGGTATAACCAAGTTGTTGCTGTTACCAAAAGAGCCAATACGCTATTACATGCGATCAGAAATGCATTCTTTACATTGCGTCAATCTACGGTAGAACTGATGTATAAGACGTATATTAGACTTATTCTGGTAATGTGGTCCGTAAAATCCGCCCGATTCCGCTTAATGACTGATTGGTGAAGTGGTGAGCAGTGAAAAAAAGAGCTCTGACACAGGTTAATAATATCAAAATAGCTGAATTTTCACAAGACGTTTAAAACTAAATATCCTTGTGCATAAAGCCTACCTTTCTTAATCAATATTTATAAAATTTGTAGAAGAGGGTGAACATGATTAATTAAATTAAATTTCATTAAATTAATTAAAAAACATGCCTAATTAAATAAAAGTAAAAAGCGGTCTCTGATATACTTTTATAATACCTGTGCATTTGCAAGAGTTTCTGAACAAAAACCCCTCGGCTGAGGGATATCTTTCAGAAAACAACAATATTAGTGCAATAATTATTGGGAAAACATGAATACTTTTGATGATTTATGAAAGAAAAAAAAAGAATCTCATTGCTCATAATCCTTCCGAGAAACAATGTATTCTGCCTATGGGTGGAATCCCGCAATGTGTATTTTCTTTCTGCAAATCTTTTTGCCGCCCAATTGAAGGAATTCCGCCCAATATGGCATCCCTGGGTTGGAGAATGGTGGAAATAACACCGCCATGGCTTGGAGCAGGGGTTATTTCCCCCATGCGTTGAGGCTGGTGAGCGTAGAAGACACGCTCGACACCCTCACGTGCAGGGAGGCGCAGCGCACCAAATATATTCTACTTTTACCAGAGAGGTGACAAATCCCCCCCTCTCCTCAGCGGGAAATTTCCATCCAATTTGTGTAACGGGTGTGTTTAAACATAACGGGAGGGCTGCCCACTTGACAAGTGCGTTGGACACACTCACAAAAAGTTTCACTAAACGGGACGCAGAATAAGATGGTGATCACTTTGCACCCGACCAACATATTGACAGAAATGTCATGCCCAAAATAGAATTGACTGATATTGGCAGAAATTCTCAGCCAGTGTGACAGAGAGGTGCCGCCCAAAATACGAACATTATATTCTCGACTCTGGCGTTCTGGTACTACAAATCAACACTCAACACTGTGCTAAGAAGTTAGTCACCCAAACATACAATTGAAACTTCGTTTGATAGACGCAAATACTAAACTATGTGAAATACGTTGAATATTGATGACTTAAGAAAGGTAGGCTTTATGCACAAGGATATTTAGTTTTAAACGTCTTGTAAAAATCCAGCTAAATTTTCTCTCAGAAAAACACTCCACCCGACATTGTTTTCACTTGAACCTTGCCGAAAAAAATGCACTCGGTAGCGAGGTTACAAAACACGTTTTCACTACCTTGTGCGTGTCCTGCCCAAGACCCACCCCCAACCACATCTAATTATCTTCTATCCTCCGCCCCCCCCCCCCGTTCAGACCCAATCATCTCATCCTCTGAACCTAATTCTTTTGACTCCTCTCCCATAATTAATTGGGACACCATACTTCCTTCGACATCACATTCCTGGTAAAGATGAAATAAATAGCAACTGCAGTCAGATGCAGCTTAAAAATATACCTATATGTGCTCGTAAAAGATTTGAACAATACATCACAATGTGCAATCTCTTTCAAATTCTCAGTGAAATCTAAGTCAAATGGTTGTTTTTGCTTAGCGGAACATTGGTTACCTCATTCTACTTTCTGGTGAGACTTCAATAAGTGAATAAATTTTTGAAATAACAGTCAAACTTATTACTACGCTCAAAAGTCTCTCACTTTGCATCTACAGACTAACCTCAAGCGATATATATTTCCTCACTTTCTTAGAAAACCTATAAATAACGTTGAAAAATAGTAGGAACCACTTTCGAATTCATTGTTGTATGTGGAAATTACAACATTGATATTCTAAATGGAGCTCGCAAAAGAGCAATTTCCCAATTTTATTAATACTTTCAATTTAGATATTATACAGTGAATGTATAAGTACATCCATACTAGTACGTACTTTTTTTAATAAATACTTTA